AATCCAGGTCCACAGGGTGTTCCTGAGTGGGCTTCTTTGGAACCCTGCCCGATTACGCCAAGTAATGTTGATGAAAAATATCCAGCCTAAGAGAAAACTTATGAGTTTATTTGAGCCAAACTGATGACAATTGCCGGGAAGCAAAATCTCAACGGATTGAGAAAATGCTCCCTAAAATGGTGGTTTGCAGCTTATTTTATACATAAAATCAAAGAAGCAAGGTTGCATAAAATCCATTCATGATAGATTAAGGGAGTGGGAGAAAACAAAGAGGGGAAATCTCTGGGTTGGATAAAGTAAATTAGAGAGAGAGGTACTTGTTTTATGTAGGTGGGTGCAGGATAGTTAACAGTTCACTTTTTTCAGCACATATTGTTGGTAATCAGGAGACAAGCATAATATGAGGAATTTTGCAGTTTCCAGCCCTGGTCCGAAAAAAGGAAACACTGACATTCCAAAGATGTTATTTTATGTGCAGAAAGACAACAGATAGGCCCACTTAGAGGCACAGGTTAACTTTATGAAGGAAGCTAAAGATGTGACTTCCTGCCATGGGTCACTTAGCTATGAAATTTTTTTATGCTCATGCCATCTTATGTAATTATTTTCAGTCCCCTGAGCATGTCAGGTTAAATATGTGGCTCTTTTTCTGTCCACACTTCTGAGGGCCATGAGGGAAACATCGGTTCCAGGCCTCAATCCTAGGCTTGTAGATGGCCATCCTCCTGTTCACATGGCGTCCTATTCCTGTATACAATCTGTCTCCTGACTTCCCACTTGTGTAAGGACATTGGCTGTATTGGATTAGGGCCTACCCTCATAAACTCATTTAACTTCATTCCCTCTGTGAAGACCCTCTCCTATTAAGCTCACATTCTGAGGTACTGGGGGTTAAGATTTCAGCATATGAATTTTGTGGAACACAATTCAACACCTATCATCTTCAAAGAGGACCCAGGCTTCTGCGGGGCCACCACTGTGAGTCCCACAGGGACAGACCTACAAACCACACTTGCTTGGTGAAAGGCTCACTTGGGTGAACTAGACCTCAGCTTGCATCTCCTTGCCCCTTAGGAGCCCTTTCAATTGTCTGAAACCCCTTTCCCACCCCCAGGAAGTCCAGAGCCTTCCCTGAGCTGTCTTTGAATTTCTAGGTGGGAGAGAGAGAAGGGAGCTGGTCTTGCTT